CACACACACACACACACACACACACACACACAAACACACACACATACACACATCACAAAAGCTCTAAAGCTCAGTACCACTACGACATGCATAGATGTTTTTAAAAACCCAAAAAACCTGACAGAAATTCCAGATATAGAGTTCCAGAATTATACATATGTTTTCCAGAAAAACATTGTCTTCAACTTTGATTTAAATTGATCAATTGAAAGAGACCTCTAAATCCAAATTGTTCCTAAGTTTTGGGGCACAGATGGAAAAGGCCCCTCAGTTTCACCCAACATTTTCTGGACATGCCGACTTCGCACATAAAAAGGATTCAGAATTGAGAACAGATTTGTGGAAAAGAAAAGCAAGGAGATCAAGTTATATTTTTCCAGAAGAACCTGCATGCCAGGAAGAGGGGCACTTTAGCACCAATTAGTTTCTTCTCCTTTTACGTTGCTTTCGGCAAATCAGTGGCTTAATGACCTAGATTACCCTTTAAGGCGAATGCTAATCAAATTGGCACGAATGGCAAAGGTCTGGGTACAGAGGGGGGGTGCTAGGATACAGATATCTTGGACATTTACTGTTGGGAAACGGGAGACGTTGGAATGAGGATGCACTAGAATGCTGAGAGACTCGAGAGGGTTGGGAACTAAAAGAAGGGGAGACTCGTTCTTGCAGACACGCATACCGCCCTCCTTTTTGAACACCCAAAAGCATGCACTGGCATGAGCAAAAACAATAAAAACCATATAAGTTATGGTAAAATGTTTTACGGCGCTCGCAACTACATAAGATCATATAAGCGCTTGGGACACATTCAACATTTTCATTTTGGTGGGAATAAAATTTTGAATTCTTCCCGAGTGGCGGTCGAGGCCTACTCTTTTCGATTTTTAGACCACCGAAGGATCTTTAAAGTTCTCAACTTACACACAGGACCTCCGAGATTTTTTCACCCTTAAGCCCCGTTTCCATGCGTGCGTAATGCACAGTGCGCAGTGCGTAATGCGTAAAGAACGTTTAAATAGAAATTCAACTAAAGTGTATCCATGTGCACGTGATGCGTTGTCCGTGATGAAAACGAAACAGCAGAAATAGGTAGTTATTGTAAATCATAGAGTTTTCTCTAGTAGTGTAAAGCCCTGTTTCTACGTGTACGTAATGCATAGTGCGCAATACGCACCCTACGGGTCCACTGAGACGGACACGGCCCGATCTTTTGTCGGAAGGAAGAAAATCGGTCGGGTCGTTTCTGTCTTGTGTGTCCACCAGTTTGGACAAAACACGCCTAGTTTGTTGGCCTACTGGCCGTATTATTACACACACTATGCCCCATTGCTGTGTCCTCGGTACAGGGCTATAACTAGTCGGTGTCAATGAACTCAAGGCGGGAATAAGAAACGAATGGGTAATTAGCCATAAAAAAGAAGTTTCGTTCAGATATCTAGATTCTAGATATAATGTTTCACATGACCGTCGGTCGTGGCAAGCTGTAAAATAATAAACGGGGAGTATGGAATAAGGAGCGCGGGGGGTAATGTGTGCCAAAAAAAACCCCGGAAAATTAATCAGGGAGGGGGTGGGGGCACTTCTTATTCGATACCTAAGAGTAAAGTGTACCCATGTGTGAGAGATGCGTTTGAATACGCATGACGCAGCTATACGGACACCGGAAGCTAGAAATTCTCGGGTGATTTACAAGAACTACGTGTTTCTGCTGTTTCGTTTTCATCAAGCTAATATCATAACATGCCACAGGATTTCGTCCCAGATGATATTCTTGATTAATAATCTTGTGAGGCAAAATCTGCCATTTTTGATCCGCCGAGGAAGGACCACAAGGATGCTGTCAAGATTTCCAATAATAATA